GTGAGTGAGTGAGTGAGTGAGTGAGTGCGTGCGTGCGTGCGTGTTTCTCACCGAGTCTCAGGCCGCCGGGGGTCAGTGCGCTCTTGTCTCCAGGGCAGGTGTTCTTGTTGGCTGTGATGGACACCAGCTCCAGAACCCGCTCGGCCCGCGCTCCGTCCATCCCCTGAGGCCTCAGGTCCACCAGAACCAGATGATTATCAGTTCCTCCTGAACAAACACACACGACACTCACCTTCAGTCAAAAGAGTCTGTCTGGATGAAGATCTACGGTCGCTTCAATTTCCAGTTGCCTGATTTAACAGCTTTTGTATTGAGGTTATAATGCATTCAATCATCATGAACAACCCATTCGACTGCCATAATATACAGAAAAAGGCCTGAATTCTGAGTTTATGTTTTGCCATTCTAATTTTATATCTCACAATCCTGACTTTTTCTTGCAATTCTAACATCTCACAATTCTGACTCTATATTAAAATCAAATCTTGTACCTGTCAACTGTGAACTAACATGAGCTTTAACATTTTTATTAACTAACATTAACAAAGGTTAATAAATACTGTGCCGTTTAATTTAAGTTTATTGCCACATCAACTTCACAGGCTATTTCATGGCAAATATTATACATGAGAAAAACAATATAGTAGTACACAATACAAAATACAATAAATTAATTAATAAAAACAAAGTATTGCACATACAATTCTATAAATAAATTTACTTTTGAAAGAAATAGGAAAAGTTTTTCTGGGTCCATCTCATAAAAGAAGTCCTTAAGATAATAAATGCTGTAAAAATATATTTTTTATTGTTACTTTTATAAGTTAAGGCATTAACTTAATGTTAACAAATGAGACCTTATTGTAAAGTGTTGCCAAATTAATTTTATTCCATGCAACAAAAGTTTCAAATTTTTTCTCTCTTATGAACAACATAATCAATCTCTCTGGATTTTCCCCCCCAGTTTTGTAAAGTCATAGAAATGCTATCGTGGATATTTTAACAATAGCATTTCTATGCATTTACTAACATTTTTACTCTATTTTAGTAAAGACACGTCAGTTTTGCTGTCTTGAGTTTAACAGCAGTCGGTTTGTCGTCTGTGTCATAATCGTTCTTGATCCAGGTGAGATTGAGTCATAAACTGATCTGCAGCTGCTTTAGACGCGATGAGAACAGAACGGAAGCACAACAACAACATGTGCGTCGATATGAAGCGCTTGCAGGCGTTCAATTAATTTCTGCACATGTCATTCCTGCCGTCGCTCCTGACTCACACTGAAGGGCCGTTTGCACCAAAGCAACACTTATATATAACAACAATAACATCCAGCACACAAAAACATCATTAAAAGTGTTTCAGTGCGATAAAATCCTCAAGACTTCAGGCCGGACAAACATTCGCTCTGCTGCAGTTTTCTTCAATAAAAGTGATTTGGATTCACCTCGAAGCGGCTGATTGGACATGAAAGAGCCTTTCTGTACAACCATAATGAGGTAATTAGCATTAGAAGAAACATTCCTCAGCTCTTTAAATAACCGAGTGTGAATAGCAAACAACTCAAACAATTATTAAACTTTTTAAATCACTCTCTGAGAGTGAAAGAACTTCTTATCTGACCAATTACACTTCAGCAATTAAAATTTAATATTCATTTAAATGCATCTGTGTGTGTTTTTCTCCTTATGGTCAAATGAAGACACCGAGTCTCCACTATGCTTCAGGACTTTTGCATCACATATTTTACACTAGACATCAAAGTAGAGACACAATAGCTCAGTGAACAAAAACAGGCTTTCTGCAGGTCAATTCAAGACTATTTAAAGACCAAGTAAAGAAAACGTAAGGAATAAATTAAAGGGAAAACAATGTCAGTATGTTCTCTAAACATATATGTCTAGAGAGCAAAATGAGTTGGGTTTGAAACACTTTAACTTCCAACAGATCTGCATTTCTTTTTAATTTATTTGACAGGATAAACAGCTTGCGTTACAGCTCTGCTCAGAAATGCTAGATTATGAAAATAACTTTTACTGTATACCTTCTGATCCACTGCAAAAAAATGAGGTTCTTCCTCAGTATTTCTGTCTTGTTTTCAATGACTGAAGACTCTTAAATCAAGAGACATTTACTGGAGAAACAAAATTACTTAAAGGGATAGTTCACCCAAAAATGAAAATTAGCCCATGATCGATTGGATTCTTCTGAAAGAAAAATGTCATATACAGCTTAGGTTTTTGACGGTGAGGAAATTTTCCCACCGGTTAATCGACGTGTGACAACACCGGTATCACCGTTGGGGAGGGATTGGGTTAGTTTGTTTGAGTTTCCCTCTTTTCTTCGCTTTCAGATGGCTTGTAAAAGTGCCGTGCGCATTTTACTTTCACTTTCAAATTAGTGGCAAGCTGCAATTTGGCATCAAGCAATTGTTCGTTTGAGTTTTCCCTCTTTTCCTCTGATTTCTTGGCTTTCAAATAGCTTGAAAAAGCGCGGTGCGCGTTTTACTTTCACTTTCAAATTAGCGGCCGAGTCGATTCAATTCAAGCAACAACAACATCAAACTCATAGAACTTTTATTAACAAAATGAATAAAAACACACCATATATGCCTAATAAAATAACAAATTACTTAGGCTACACAAAGTTTAAATAGGTATATAAAACTGAAAATCAGAAAACACTGTGGAACCAAATGAAAATTAGCCCATGATTTACTCGCCCTCAAGCCATCCTAGCTGTATATGACTTTCTTTTTTCAGTAGAATCCAATCGGGGTTATATTTAAAAACGTCCTGGCTCTTCCAAGCTTTATAATGGCAGTGAATGGGTGTTATTTTTCAATGTATAAGAAATTAAATATATGAATAAAGGCCCCAATCAATGCGTTTGTGTAAGAAAAATATCCATATTTAAAACTTTATAAACCGTAATCTCTAGCTTCCGCTAACTGTCGTACGCGCGTTCATTCCGGCGGATCACGTAAGAAGTGAGGAATTCGGAAGCGCAGCGAAGATTTGTTAAGAAAAATGTGGGAGGATTTGGATATAAGCCAAGAGGAGACTGGCTTTCCTTTGCTAAAGTAAGGAAACTTTGCTTCCTTAAACAAACTCGCGACACTAGCATATCTCAGAGGCGCGTGCGCGACGCATACGTCCCACGTCATCCGCCGGAACGTTTCTGCATATGACAGATAGCGGAAGTGATAGAAAAGTGTTTATTACGTCACTTTCAAATTAGCAGCAATTCGGCGTTGATTCAATGGACCCTTTTCACAAGACTGTGATGACGCGTTTAACGGTGTGGAACCAAATAAATAAGAAATGAATGTTTAAAAAAAACTTCCAGTCAATAGGCTTTTCAAAATCTAAAATATTGCCAAACAGGCGCCTTTGCATTTCCTTTCTAAACAATTTTCTGCAATCGTCTCGTCTTTCTCACCTCACTCTTGTCAGTCAGTTAACTCTCCTCACGGGATAAATAAAATTGTTTTTATTAAAGTCGTTCGCGCACGGTTCGGCATGCTGCATTGAGCGTTTAGTTTTTAAAAGTGTCTGTCCTCTAACTGAACTAGGCTAAATTATTTTTGTTACTATAAATAAATCAAAACGACGGTGGGGAGCGGTGTACACCGCGAAAACACCGTCTATCGCAGTAAATCATGGGGTAATTTTCATTTTTGGGTGAACTATCCCTTTAAGTCTTTTTTTCGGAGAAATTGATCAAAATGAAGTGAGTTTATGATTAAAACAAGAACAAATATCGGTCAATGGGCTCCAAAAAATAAACTAAATTCAAAGGGAAAACACGTTTTCATTCCTCATTGACAGATATTTCCTCTTATTTTAAGCATAAACTCCCTTTATTTTTATCAATTTCTGGCTTCACATCTTCATTGTGCATCTCCAGTAAATGTATCTTGATTTAAGGATGTTTAGATATTTGCGCTGGAAAACAAGACAGAAATACGGAGGAAGATATTCATGTTTTGCAGTGCGTGCAACATTTAATGCCACGACTTTCTGCTCTGATTTAAGAGCTTTAACTTGCGGAAGCGTGAAAACATCCCTGAAAAACATCCTGTAAATGTTTTTAAAGACTGACGTGTTTATTTGATGGTTCAACACAAACCTATCCTCACTACGATTTTTCAATGTGATCCGGGTTGTAAGATGTTTTTAAGCCTGTCTGCATGCATGATCTGATAGGATGAGATTTAAAGAAGCCGTTAGTAGAGCTTCATGCGTCTGCAGGTCTTTGGTGCGTCAGTGTGTTATGAAGACGCTCTCTACTGCTTCACTCCACACAACCCAACACTGAATCATTAACAGGACTATTCATTAACACGGCTTTAGTTTTTTAGTTCCTCTAGTACGTAGGGGTTTGAGTCTCACTCCTGCAGCACACACTGATAAAATGCAGGAAAACTAACTTCATCTTCCAGGAGAATCCAGTGGCGTCGTCTCAGTCCCAGACGAACACGTTCTGCTCACCTGAAGAGAAAACCTACAGCGCGTGAAAACCCACCCGAGACCAGCGTGTAGCCCTTCTTCAGCAGCGCCTCGGCCATGGCCTTGGAGTTCTTCAGAACCTGAGCGATGTATTCACGAAACATGGGCGTCGCGGCCTGAGGAGAGAGCGAATGAAGAGCTATCAATTATCAAAAATCATAAATGAGCTCCCAAGTGCACCGGCTATTGTTCAGGAGAAGATGAGAGAGACTCAAATGATGCTGCATATGGAACTGACTGCAGGATATTAATTCAGCATATGAACCGCTAATAAACACAGCGAATCAAAGTAGAAAGTAATAATCGACCGATATATCGGCCGATATTTGATATTTTTTTAAAATTATCGTATCGGCCAATACTTTTTTCTGTTTAGCCGATATGTCAGAAGCAGGACTTTTATTTTGACAGCGCTGAGAAACCGAAAGGCAAACACTATAATACTTTCTCATCTACCGTCAGCATTTAATTTCAACAAATCTTAAACAAGTCTAACTTGTCATTATTTGTAAAAATACGATTCCCAGTGCGATTATTAGTTACAGTGTCTTCCTTTTTATTAATATTTTTAACAATTTCTTTATTTGTGAAAAAACTCACACACACACACACTCACACACTCTCACACACACACTCTCACACACACACTCACACACACACACACACACTCACACACTCACACACTCACACACACACACACACACACACACACACACACACTCACACACTCACACACTCACACACACACACACACACACACACACACACACACTCACACACTCACACACTCACACACACACACACACACACACACACACA